TATGCATTTCTAAACAATGGGAGAGAAGCTCAGATTTTCTTCAGGATTTTGTGCTCCTTGAGAAACAATGTAGACTTGTGCTCGTACTTTTATCTTGCTCTAGAAATTTCTTTCTTTACTGCCTACCTAACATGCCACCATCACTTGTCTGTCAGTTTTTGTTGTACTTTGAAGGCTTATGTGTTGCCGTAATGCTGGAAGCTTTGTCAGTTGATATTTCAGATACAAGCAGGGTCACCCAAAGTGAATGGGTATCAGCAGAGCTTCCAGACTAAGAACAGACTACAGAAAAGGAATCGGCTGTCCACTTGAGAGGAATTAACCTCTGAAAACCTCATGGACAGCAGAACATTATCCGAGACGGTGTCAGAAGATGAGCTCTTCAGGTCTGAAGGCACTCAAAATATGACTGAGGAAGACTGCCGTCTCAGTGTTGACCATGATGACGAATGGAGTAAAGCCTTCAGAACCTACATTTGCTAACGGGACATAACTCAAAATAAGGAGAAACAGTTGCAAATATCTATTAATTGGAACTTGGAGTAGCGATACAAGGAGGGTAAGGGAAAGGTGGTGGGAGAAAGGGGCAACCGATCACAGTGATCTACATATAACCCCCTCCCTGGGGGACAGACAACAGAAAAGTGGGTGAAGGTAGATATCGGTCACTGTGAGACATGACAGAATAATAATCTATAAATTAGCGAGTGTGAGGAAGGGAGTGGGGGAGGGAGGGACAAAAATAGAGAAGCTGATACCAAGGGGTCAAGTAGAAAGAAAATGTTTTGAAAATGATGATGGCAACATATGTGGAATGTGCTTGACACAATGGATGGATGTATGGATTGTGATGAGTTGTACAAGCCCCCAATAAAATAATTTTAAAAAATAATTTTAAAAAATTGGAATTTGGAATGTATGAAGTATGAGTCTAGGAAAACTGGAAGTCATAAAAAATGAATGAAAATGAACCACATAAAGTCGGTGTCCTAGGCATTAGAGAGATGAAATGGACTGGTATTGACTATTCTGAATAAGACAGTCTTACGGTTTACTGTGCCTGGAATGACAAATTCAAGGGGAGTGGTGTTGCATTCATCTTCCAAAAGGACATCTTAAAGAACAACACTGTCTGTGATCGAATATTTATCCGTATACAAGGAAATGAAGTCAGCACAACAATTATTCAAATGTGTGCACCAGCCGTTAAAGCTAGTGATGAACTTGAAGAACCTGACCAACTTCTTCAGTGTGAAATTGATCAAACATGCAATTAAGATGCCTTTGGTAATTATCGGCAATTGGAATGGGAAAGGTGGGAACAAAGGAAGTATTTGGAAAATATGAGATTTTTGTAAGACCAAAAGACTTCTTCATCACAGATCCCCTTTTCAAAGGTACCTATGAACAAAGACTGTGCACATTGACCTCTCCAGATGGAATACGCAGAGATTGGCTACATCTGTGACCCGAACTCCCTGCCTGAGTCAGTTCTGACTGGTCCTGACTCCTTAGGACAGGGTAGAGCTGCCATAGGGACTTCTGAGACTGCAGTTCCATGGGAATGGAAAGCCTCATCCCTCGAGGAGTGGCTGGTGGTTTTGAACTCTAACCGCCGTTTAGCAGCCCATATTAACAAGGACACCACCAGTGCTCCTTAGAATCGCTTAATAGCAGCAGCTAAAACAGCCCAGGGGCTGACTGTGGAACCAGACTATCAATCGTGTATATAAAAAAAAAAGTACACTAGTATAAAAATATGACCCTGAGTTTATCCCGCTTGAATTTTGAGAACATCCCAAGAATAGACTTGACATACTGAGCATTAATGATAGGATATCTGCTTAGCTGTGAGATGACATCACAAATATCCTGCATACAGGAAGCAAAAGGTCTTTAAAAAGGAAAGAAAAAATCAAAAGACCAACATGGATGTCAGAAGATACTGAAACTTGCTTTAATTCATAGAGTAAGTAAGGCAAATGGAAGAAATAATGACGTAAAAGCTGAGCAGAAAATTTCAGAGGGTCCTCCTACAAAGGCAAAGAAATGTGGATTTGGAGAAGTTTGGGGCCAGCTTGCTCCTCGCAGGCTCCAGCGCCCCTATCCCATACTGGGGGGGGGGTGGGAAATTTCAGAGGGCTGCTTGATCAAAGTGTTTTTTTTTTAATTTTTTAAAACATTTTATTAGGGGCTCATACAACTTATCGCAATCCATACACACATCAATTGTGTAAAGCGTATTTGTACATCATTCTCAAGACATTTTCTCTCCACTTAAACCCCCGACATTAGGTCCTCATTTTTCCCTTCCCTCCCTGCTCCCCCCTCCCTCATGAGCCCTTGATAGTTTATAAATTGGTATTTTGTCATCTTGCCCTGTCCGACGTCTCCCTTCACCCACTTTTCGGTTGTCTGTCCCCCAGGGAGGAGGTCACATATAGTTCCTTGTAATCGGTTGACCAAAGTGTTATAATGAAGTACAAGGACCGAGAGTAAGAAAATCAGAAAGGAAGAAGACACTCAGCATATCTTAAACTGAAGGAACTCAAGAAAAAAAATTCAAGCCTGGAGTTGGCAAAATTGAAAGATTTGTTGGGTAAAATATTGAACCATTTAGGAAGCATCAAAAGAAGATGGAAAGAATACACCAGAGCAGTGGTTCTCAACCTTCCTAATGCCGCAACCCTTCAATGCAGCTCCTCATGTTGTGGGCCCCCCCCCACAACCATAAAATTAGTTTTGTTGCTACTTCATAACTGTAATTTTGCTACTGTTATGAATCAGGGCAGGCCCTGTAAAAGCGTCATTCAACCCCCACAGGGGTCACAACCCACAGGTTGAGAACCTCTGAGCTAGAGGAAGGTTGTGTGTTTCATCGGTGCTTTACTACACCCCAACAGGCTCGTCTCTTCCTTGTGGCCGTTCTGATAGGGGGTCCCCAATTGACTACGGATGGGCTTTGTGTCTCCACTCTGCCCTCCCCCTCATTCCCTTTGATAAGCTTTTTGTTGTTTTGGATCTTTGATGCCTGATACCTGATCCCATTGACACCTCATGATCACTCAGGCTGGTGTGCTTCTTCCATATGGGCTTTGTTGCTTCTCAGCTAGATGGCCGCTTGTTTATCTTCAGGCCTTTAAGACCCCAGGCACTATATCTTTTGATAGCTGGCACCATCAACTTTCTTCACCATATTTACTTAATGTACCCATTTTATCAGCGATCATGTCATGCAAGGTGAACATCAATGAGTGCTGTGTTAGTAGTACAAATTGTTGTGTTGAGGGAGTACTTGAGTGGAAGCCCAGTGTCCATCTGTTACCGTGATACTTTGTAAATAAATATATGTACATAGCTCTATTCTCCTGTCATTGTATATAAATCTATTTACATATATGCATGCCTATATTTAGACCTATATAAATATCCTATGCCTCCCAGTTCTTTCCTCTATTTCCTTTTGCTTTCCTCATGTCCCACTATCATGTTTGGCCTTCATTCGGGTTTTGGTAATTCCTCTCACATACATTACCTTTGATGGAGCCCTCGCAAGCATCCTGTTCCCTCCTCGCCATCAATTTTAGATCACTTATTCTTCCCTTGTCCCTGGTTTGTTGACAACCCCCTCTTTTTCTCCCACCTCCCCCTCTCCCGTCCGTGTCCCTTGGAGCTGTCAGTCCCATTGTTTGCTCCTCCAGATTGCTCATCTCACCTGTCTTGTCGAGGTAGACAAGCACAGACAACAATACACACAAAACAAAGCAGAGCAAAACATACCCCCCCAAAAAAGAAGACAAAAAATAAATCAACAACAACTAATATAACAAAACTGGTTTATACCTGTCAGGACTAATATAATCACTGGGTGGTGCTAGGTACCCCAGAAAAATTGTATCTCCGTCAAGCCTCATCTCTTATCTCCATTTCTATCTTCTATATCTCTCCCAGTCATCTGCTATATACCCTTTTTATAAGGTCATAAAAGTCATACAATCAACTATTTTAATCATGAATTTTAATATATTAATGACCAGCCATTTTTTTGTTTTCTTTTTGAAATATTAATTTGCTGTTAATATTCTCTCATGTATTGTGAGTTTCAAAAGCCACCAATGGGTAAGCCAGATCTGTGGCATTTTAGTGGGTGCCTATTTTCCTTAATTAAGCACTGGTTCCATATTGTCTGCAGTAGGGTTCTGTTAGAATATCAACCATCAGCTTAGGTCTAATATGTGCACAGTACATGTGTAATGATAAAAGCACTTACAAGTGTGAAGTATTTTGATGTGTGGAATAAAGTCAGTAAGATACAGTTTACTTTAGCGAGCTGGTTTTTTTTATTAATTAAAATTAGAGATCAGGAAGGGAGAACAAACCAATCAGCGTATACTGGCTTAGGGCTTGATTCTACGTTCTTGCTAACCACTGGTCTTTTAATTTGTGATAGTCAACTAAAATATTGCCAGCATGGTTATTTTCATAATACCCACTTTGTGTCTCATGTGCTTGAAGAAGTTCATTTGTTTTATGTTTATCAGTAGTTTCCTTGTGCTTGATGTGGGAGCCCTTCCTTTCTTACCTGCTTGGTTTCTTTAGCTAGACATTCAATATCTTAGAGTTAATTGAAATTCTAGACCTTCACTCTTGTTTTTCCCTCATTCACCGTCTTCTAATCCTATACTTAATAATGCAATTTTGATTCCACTTTTTTTGATTCCACTTTTCAGCTCTCTGTGGTCAAATCCACTTTCTTTTACACCCATTTTCTTCTTCATTGTAGTAATTTGACTGTCCAGGCTATACTAGCTCAGGAAGATAGCCTTCTCTTAAAAATCTGGTTGTATTTGTCCTGCTCGGTAAATATGTGAATAAGTTATCTCAATTTCCCTGAAAGGCATTCTACCACTCTTCATGTTTCGTGCCACATATAGCACTTCTTATATGCTCATAAATTAAAAAAAAATTCCTTACAAATCAATATTTTCTTGTGTTTGTAGATACCTGAAACATGTCTGAAAATTCCAGCGACAGTGATTCATCTTGTGGTTGGACTGTCATCAATCATGAGGTATGCTAATTAATACTTAGAATGCCATTTGTAATATTTTTTCCCCAATCATTTTATTAGGGGCTCATACAACTCTTACCACAATCCATCCATACATCAATTGTGTAAAGCACATTTGCACATTCATTGCCTTCATCATTCTCAAAACATTTGATCCCCACTTAAGCCCCTGGCATCAGCCCCTCATTTTTCCTCCTCCCTCCTGCTACCCAGTCCCTCATGAACCCTTGATAATTTATAAATTATTATTATTTTGTCATGTCTTACACTGTTGGACGTCTTCCTTCACCCACTTTTCTGTTGTCCATCCCCCGCCATTTGTAATATTGAAGTCTATAGCAGTGATGTGAAATAAGTGAGGTGAAATCGTTATTTGAAACACCGTCCCCCCCCAAAAAAAAATCTCCATCAAATTGTTTGCAACTTGGAGTATACCTATGCTACACAGTTACTTGGAAGGCCAATAGTTTTCTACATTTCAATGTAAGTTTCACTAATCTGTTACTTTGACATTTTCTCACACATATTAACTATTGAAAACTCCATGAGTCATCATCTTCTATGTTATTGTATATTGGTTTCCTTGGATTCTAGGCATTAAGCAAATAATTATTGAAGGCTTACTATGGGTCCAAGGAACTGGGTGGCATAGTGGTTATGAGTGGTTAAAGTGCCCAACTGCTTACAGGATGGCCAGTGGGAGAGAGATGTGACCATCTGCTTCTTTAGAAGAATGACAGCCTGTGAAACTCTGTAGGGAAGCTCTCTGCCCTATGGAATTGCCAGGAACTGGAATCAACACAACAATTGTGGGTTTCATTTTTAGATATTATGGATCAGACCCATTACTACTCCAATATTCTCTCATAATTAACCCCCCCCCCCAACTTTGTAGTAGATATGTTTTTATTCTCATTTTACACTTGAGGAAATGAAAGATTAAACTGATTAAGCAATTAGGCTAACAGTACATCTTTTGCAAATAGCCAATCCTGGCTTTGAGCAGACCAGAAAGACACATGTGCTCTGCTAACGTTCTGTTATGTTGTTTTAGAAGAATGAGGTTACATGATCTAAGGTGAGTTGATTGTGACTCGTGGTTACCTCATGTGTGCTGAATAGAACTGCTCCTTAGGTTTTCATGACAGTGACCTTTGGGATCCAGATTGCCAAGCGTGTGTTGCAAGGTGCTAAGTGAGAACCACCAATCTGTCAACTAGTAGTCAAGCACTTAACTGTTGTATGATTACAGTCAATATTTATGAACAGAAAAAATAAAAATCATACCAAAGCTTTCATGGATCTGTCTAAAGCTTCCTCTTTGTTCTTACGATTTTTAAAAGCCTCTCTTATTTTCCTTCATTGATAAAAAATGTTAAATGATTATTTTTAGAATTACTTTGATAATTTCATGTTTAATTTGTTAGTTATATGCTATAGAAAATAACATTAACAAAATAAGCATTACTCTTTATGCATGAATAGTTCATACATAAATTTAACAGACGCTATACCAATTAGGATGGGGATTTTGTTTGTTTTTCCTCTAATCACAAATGACTGTACTATTTAACTTCTTTTCTACAAAAGTCACATCATCTCCCTTAGCAACTTCTCATTCAAGGATCCTTAACAATACAGGAGCAAAGTAGTGGTGGGAATCTTACTCGTGAATCTTTATGGTGAGGCGGCCCATCAGACCTCTGTAACACTTAGCAAAATGTCACTGGAGTATGTTCTTAGACTATTCTTTCAGAATGAATGCTCTTCGTTTATCCATCTTCCTACACACCTACTTCTAATCTTTATCCTTTAAATTCATTGCATTATCCTGGTGCTTCCATTTTAATCCATACATTTAAACATATTTTAGTAATATTTTCTTTGATAAGCAGTTATTTGTATGTGGTTTGTATGCCTGAATAGGTTATAAATTTGAATTTTGGATTTGGATTTTATGCCCCCAAACAGAATGTTTTGCTAATGGTAGTTACATAAATATTGAGTGAGTTTAAAATTCATCCGAGTTTAAAACTTACCAACTAATCCTATAGTATAGAGTGTAGTCAGCATGCAACTTTGGGACTGACTTGATTTAGAATCTGACTCCGACGCCATGCTACCATTACATTTTTAATAACTAAATTGTAAATCTTCCCTGGTGACACAGTGGGTTAAGCTTTGGGCTGCTAACTAGAATATTCTTTGATTGTGGGGTACCAGCCCCCACAATGGAACGGGTCCAAGGGGTGGTTGTGCAATTGATGGGTAAGATTAAAGAGACATCAGACAAGATAAGGCATGAAATTGCTTGCCTCCCAGACGGCCATGATCTCAGCAGACAGGTCCGTGCAGAGAGAGCGAATACATTTCCAGTTATGGCTTTACACATTTTGGGGACCTGCAAGTCTCCCTAATTTCATCATATCAGGAAGGGGTTTTATAATAGGAGGGGGACGAGCTAGGGCTGTAGACGCAATAGGAAGGAGAGACTCTAGGAGTACACATTTGACAAGATGGGCAGATTCTAGAGTCAAGATGGCAGTTTAACCATGACCCTCCTTGAGTTGGCTTGACCTTGTCTTTGGGCTCTCCTTCAGGAGAATAATCCACTATCTGTATCAGCACGTAGGGTGGGGCAGATAGTAAGGTGTGGTTGCTCCAGATGGCTGATAATCCTCAGGGA